GAGAGAAGGGGAAGAAAACAGCTTTGAAAATTATCAGAAAACCTAGGAAGACCGGATGAAACGTGGAATCATACGAAAATTTGGGCAGATCCTGGAAAGCTGGGGAAAATATATGGCCTGCATCGAGTGTACCGGATGAATCAGAGAAGACAAAGGTGCGGACGGATTGCCTACCTAACAGGCCGTGGCGCCTTACGTGCAGAGCGAGTAGGCAAACCCGCTCGCACCTGTGTCTTCTCTGAATCACCCGGTACGAGGAGGGAGGCCGCAGTTTTTGCAGACTCCTCGACTTCTGCTCGCTTCTGCTGACTTTACCTGACTCTTTCTGCACCCGTTTGAAATGGGTGACATTCCCTGTTCCTCGTTCTCGACTTCTCTGACTTGTGGAAACCCATAGCCAGATAGCCGCATGTCGACGTCGCCGTGGTCATGCGGCCTGCGCATGTCCACGTCGAGAAGAGCGCCAAAGTACATGGCCTCCGACGCTGCCGACGAGGGCCGGCTAGAGTTCCAATCTTCGTCTGAGTCCATGGCAGCTGCAAACGCAAATCGCAAACGATAGTTTCAAAAGCGTTGACGCTTGTATCGCGCGTCCGAGCCGAGCACCACCTCCACCACCTGCTGGGGGTGGCGCGGGCGGCCCCGCCCACAGCACATCCCCCGCTTCGTGCGTGCGCTGCGTGCGCTGGGTGGCGCGGGCGGCCCCGCCCACAGCACATCCCCCGCGGCCCGCACGGATTGGCGCGCCGCTCTCCAAAACTTTCCCATCCTCATAACTCCCCCGGCAGCCGCCCCATCTTCATAACGGCTGGCCCCGCCCCCAGACTCTTATCGTCATAACTCGCCCCGCCCCACCCACGAGCACGCGCCCCGCACGTGCCGGGGGCGTTTTGTTGACGGTGTCGCGGCCGGGGACCGAGGAGGGCAAGTCAGCCGAACGGCCAGGACGACGCCGTGCTAAAAAGGGATCCCCACCCCGATGTGGAAAAATAAAAATGTTTTCAAGGTTGAGTATGTACTGGAACATGATCATAAGCGTCTGAAATAAAACGATAAAAAAAGTAAAGACTCCATTTCACAATAAGGAGAGCATGTGATGGGCATGTGATGTGCAAATGTAATCATTTATCGTTTGGAAACCTGGTGGTCGAAGAGTAAGATCTAACAGTGTGCACCAACGGCCCCGTAAGTCTGTACCGTGTTCCTCGCGCCCAGGTGCAAGCGGGTTGCCTACTCTGGCTGCGCACAGGCGGCTCGCGGGCGGACCCCCTCTGAAGCCACCCTCGCGAGATATCGTTTCCGATGAGAAAGTTTTTGGCGGGCGGGCGGGAGGCGCGTGATGCGCGCGAAAGGCTTAGCGCGCGCGAAGTGCGCGGAGGAGGGCCGGGCCGCGGAGGGGCGAGCAGGCCGGAGGATTACACGCAAATCGACACCTTCCTCCCGGGGCGATTACATCTGATACCCCGGGCCGGGGCCTGGCTGGGCACACGCGCGCCATCAGATATGACGGCAATACGCCGCCGTTATGGTGGCCGCTGCCCCGGCGGTGCCAGGGGCGGTGCCCGTGGCCTGGCCCGGATCAAGCAGGCTGTGAAATGGGGGCGCGCCTTCTGTGGCGGCCGGCGCTCTTATCAGCACATCTCGACCCATCTCGCCCGCCCAGCACCCCGCCAGCCGGATGACTGTGGCCACCGGCGGCGGGATAAACGCGCGAATCACGCAAATTTGCGAATCACGAGCGTCAAAAAGGGTGCCGTATAGCTTTGCGCACGTGCGGCATATGTTATGATTCATGTGGACAGGCGCGAGAACAGAGGGGGTGCGTCACTATGGTGCACTGCCAGAAAAAGAATAATTAAGAATTGTTTCATTCCAAATCCATGTTGATTTCTTAGTTGTAATTTTGTTGTTTTTTGGTGCAGTGTAGAGCAAGGGGTTGGTGAGGTAGGGGAGCAGGGGGGTGCACTGCACGGCCACGGCGGTGTGCGACGGCACCGCTTATCACGGCTATTTCGCGTTATCCGCTGTACAAACACCACCCCTTTTTTTCCAGCGCTCTCCCGAATAATATTATGATTATTCATCTAAAGCCCCGTGAATAGCCGTTTTCTGGCATTATTTCTGGATCTTTGATCTTTTGTTCTCTGGTTTTGGCCTTGGGATAAGGGCAAGCAAAAGAACAAGCGCGTAAGTTTCTGCGGATTCCGTCTTCAGGTTTGTGTCTCTCCTCTCCTCTCCCTCTCTGTCTCTCTGTCTCTCTGTGGCGCGCGAGCGAGCACAGACCGCAGAAGGGTGACAGTTTTGAGGATTGCATTACCCCCTCTCTCCCCCCACGTGGAGCGGCGGGAAGCGGCCCCGAGGAAGCGGAGCAATGGAATGGATTATCAAATATGCAGAAGCAAGGGGCCATTTCGACGCCCACATCATCACCACTAGCTATGCCCGCACTGTTAAAAAAATTGGGGGTCGGAAGCGGAAAGAAAATCCACACAACGCTGAAACCGTGTGTTTTCCGCCCCCCGGAACAATAGGCGAATGTACGGTCTAAATCATGTAGACAAAAATGCAGATGCAATTGTTTGCAATTCCATGATACAGTGTGCTGAAAGAAATAAAGCACACCTGCTGAAACAGTCACGCAAATTCATGAATCGTCGAGTATGCCAGGTCCTTTATTTTGCAGTGGCCATGCAGTGCAACACAAAGGATTGGATTGGGGAAGGGGGGGGGGGAGAAAATGTGTCCAGATCCGAATGCGTGGCGGAGAATGGCAGCTTATGGTCCATAATGCGTCAATCTCCTCCGCCTAACAACCCCTCCGCAGCGCTGCCCGCCCGAACAAGGGCGTCGCAACCCCTTTCCAAGGTCTTCATTTTCCATCGTTTTAATCAGGCTTACGTCGGCATAATCACTATCGGATCACTCCCCTTTTGTCGGAGCGAGAGAGAGGCGGAAGGGGTTGGGAGGGGAAGAGGGAGGAAGAGAAAGGACACACAGAGACAGAAAGGACGTCAGGAAGAGAGAGAGATGGGGGAGGCAGAGAATGGCGTATTACGAGCCAGTGCCATTTCTCGGAATGACCACCGAGACAACATTGACCAGCGGACACGAAGGGGCATTAAGAGAAGACTACAAACTCACAGCCCCCACCCACACTAGGAAAAAAGAAAATGGAAAAAAAAGAAATGGGGTGAATAGAAGGAAATAATCCGAGCCAGAAGCATAAGGTGGCGCCGCCCTCCCATAATAATCATCTCAACCCATTAATTCCCCCTCTCAGCTCGGACGACTTCAATAAGAGAAAACTTGATTAATAAACGAGTAATGTCAGTTTGACACGAGACGGGCCGCCTCCGCGGGGAGCGTCGCCCGCCCCATTTTAAAGTGCTCCTCTCCCTGGGCCCGGCCGCCGCGCCACCGCTCCGGACGCAGCCCGGCCCGCCACGCACCCCCAGTAAAAGCCTCCCTCCGGCCACCCCCACCGCTCTTTAAACAATCCCGGGGAGTTATTTCAACATGACGATCACCTCGCGCCGAGCCTCGCGCCCTCCCTCCACTATTTTACTTATATCTCCGCCATCCATCTCCCCTCTCGGACTGCTTGTCAACAAGCAGGAAACATTATTTTGAAAATCGAGTGTGCGAAGAGATGGACAAGAGCAAGTTCAGGGGTATTCGCCCTCTTAAAGTTAATTTTATTTTGTAACTAGTTACAGATAGCTATCTTGATTTTTTTGGCGCGTCCGCCAAGATCGATTTTTATTAAGCTTTGCTTGATTCCGCACGGTACAGTAAAAACGACGTCCTGGTTTCCATGACTTTTTGGAAAAACCATGACGTCTTATGGCAGAAATGCATGGGAAACGTCATGGTTTTCCAAACGTCATGAAAACCAGGACGTCGTTTTTACCGTGGATGGAATAATTGAATTGGTGAGAGAAATGCGCAGAATTTTTTCGCCAACGATCGTTCGCTACCGTGGAGGGAGGGAGGACAGGGGCATCAGATATGACGGCAATACGCCGCCGTTATGGTGGCCGCTGCCCCGGCGGTGCCAGGGGCGGTGCCCGTGGCCTGGCCCGGATCAAGCAGGCTGTGAAATGGGGGCGCGCCTTCTGTGGCGGCCGGCGCTCTTATCAGCACATCTCGACCCATCTCGCCCGCCCAGCACCCCGC